TAACAACAGGCTGAGGCCAATAAGAACTAAAAGCCTTTCGGATGTCATTATCTGTTTTCATTGTTGAGTCTTATCTTGGTTGACCTTGCCTTTCTTTTTTCCTTTTTTAATTTTTAATTTTTTATGTTAGAGATGAGTCAAGGTGGGAGGTTAAAAGGAGGGAAACTAATTGTTTCACATGCGAGATTATATAATATGGAGAAACTCTGTCATTCGGGGTTTTCCCTGTGAAGCAAAGAAATGATGCCAAAGATGCTAAGTTTGGGAATATGTCCAAGGAATGTTCCCTCTACAAAATATAAACAAAAATTACAAGTCTGTCACCTCTAATTTTCAATGGATTTTGTTCAAACACTTTTTGATTTTACTTATTTTAAGTAATTAAAATTTAATATTTAAAGAACTGAGAATTTCTTACATTAGAACCGTGTTAAGAACCTATTTTGCCTCCTTTTGTCCCCCTTTTTCCCACTCCACCTCCATTCATTTTCGTTTGTAAAATAAAAAATGCACTTGGGAATTCATATCTGGATCCTGCTAGCAAGCTATTTACAGAACTTTCTATCATCGGATTGGCATATACAAATAAAAATCAGAAATACAGTAAATTGAAACCCAGCCCCAGTAGCCAGAAAACAATGCAAAGAATGTAGAAGCCATCAATAAGACAGAAGAAGAACCTGTAGGAAAACAAAAGGTGAAATACAGGTTAGATCCTCTACCATAGAGAAAGGCTCATGTGCCTCAAGATAATTCTTCTTTAGTTACCAACTGATGATTTCCAGAGAGAATTGGCCATGTAATATTTCAAACTAAAATCTTAAAACTAATTAAAAAGCAGTTTCAAAGAAAGGGTTTGACATTTTGAAAACCTCTTATAGTTTCAACTCCATAAAAAAAGGGTCTCGGGTAACTAGAAAGTAAACAATGTGCTACCATTATCTAGCAGTCTGATAAAAAGGAGAGGTAGACTTACCAAGTATCTTCCAAAATGTATAGAAAGGTAAAAAAATTGACGTGCCCTGGAAACAAAGCCTCAGATAGAAAATGAAAATCACTCTCCTCTATGACATCTTTAATGCTAG